GTCGCGTCGAGGTACAAAGTCGCGTCGAGGTACAAAGTCGCGCGGAGGCCGAGGTACAAAGTCGCGCGGAGATACAAAGTCGCGCAGAGGTACAAAGTCGCTGAGGTACAAAGTCGCCCGAGGTACAAAGTCGCCCGAGGTATAAAGTCGCCCGAGGTACAAAGTGCGCTGAGATATAACGGGTACGGGCTCTTGCGATCTCCCGTATTGAATCGAGTCTGGTGTATCATCTTGCAACTGGTTATCAACATGATGTTTGTATTTGTATCGTACCCGATCAATACAGGAACCACTCTTCTACACCTGTACTGTTCTACAAATCGGCCAATCACGGTACTTCATCCTCTCCCTCGTTCCCGTATGTGTACTCCTTAGATCCCATACTAGCGTCGCCTTCCAGTAATGTATCCGGCTCGGGTAACACTGTACGCCATCGAAGTCACCACCCGACACAGAGAGCGCTAAGACGTCAGCGTCACTTGAGGCAAAACGAGCGCAGATATAGCAGCTGGAGCCAGAAGCTTTGCGCTAAGGAAGCGGCTGCGTTGCGTGGTGGCCGGGACGAACTTCAGGACAGCCAGTGGTTGTGGTGGGGGAGTGCGTGGGGGAGTGTGTGGGTGATACACGATGAGCGCGCAGTAGTCGTGAGGAAAAGATGAGTCGGGATGAGTACAGAGGTCATACGGAGGCGAGTGTAAACCCACCGATTCGCGCGAGCCGGGACGCCGCAGTGCTGAAGATGGGGGAGGATCGAGGAGGACGGAAGTCGAACGTTGAAGACATTCGGACTTGAAGGCGTCGTCGCGCGCTAACGCACCGAGCCACGTGCCGCGTCCACACTGTGGCGGCGAGTCATGTCGAACGCGTCGATGCCACTCGTCCCCGACCACCATCTCCCTTCGTGATTCTCGCCCACTCTCTAACCCCGCCTCCTCCCTCATATCAAACTCGCTGCTGAACCTGGGCTTTGGCAGGTTAGGCCAAACACGTCGGGCCGGCTTGTCGCGTTGTGTCGCGTCCCGGTGCGATGCGAGCTTCCCTGACGCGTCGTTCACTTGTCAGTCCGTCGCCCCACTCTGTGATCAGCCGCAACCTGATGCTGTGTTTTGTCTCGCCATTCATTGTGTTTGCCTGAGCTCTGATGAGGAATCCGTCATCACAGCTGTTCAGCTGCTCTGGATCAACATCATCATGGACACCTTTGCCGCTCTCGCACTCGCCACGGACCCCGCCACGCCTACTTCGCTCGACCGCAAGCCCGACCGCAAGTGGGCGCCACTCTTCAGCTGCGACATGCCCAAGCAGATCGTCGGTCAGAGCGCGTATCAGTGCATCATCATCTTGATCTTCCACTTCCTGGGCGCTCGCATTCTCGGGTTTGGTACCGATGAGACGGACAAGCGTGTCACAACGCTCGTGTTCAACGCCTTCGTCTTTGCGCAGATCGCCAACAGCCTCAACTGCCGCAAGCTTGACCAGAGGTTCAACATCTTCGAAGGAATGTCTCATAACTGGTGGTTCATCGGTATCACCCTCACCGGTACGTTCTTCTCATGATCACTTGTGTGGCTTTGTTTCTAATCAGGCTCGCAGAAATTGGCGCTCAAATCCTCATCGTGTTCATTGGTGGCGCGGCGTTCTCAGTGACGCGCATCGCCGGACGCGAATGGGGCATCTCTCTCGCACTCGGTTTCGTCTCGATCCCTCTGGGCGCGCTCATTCGTCTCGTCCCCAACGGCCCTTGCGAGAAGCTCTTCCGCGCCGTCCGCCTTCCCCCGCGTGATCCCACGCCCCTCCCGACGACAGCACCCGGCACTCCTGAACCCGGTCTCGGCTTCGCGCTCGACATGCTCCGCAACAACCTCGGCACATTCCAGCTCGTCCGCGGTGGCCGCCTCCGCTCGAGCTCATTCATCGTTCGCAGTACGAACGCCGCCGGTCTCGTACCGCAGAAGCGCCCTCACAACATCATCGCTGCGACGATGTTGCCTAGTCTGCTTGGAGCGCACATGGTCGGTGCGAACTGGACGCCGAGTGGACCTGGACAA